CCATGTGGAAGTTATGCCTTGGTCAAGTTACAGTTGACTTTTTCAACTATCCAAATATGGAAACTTTTGCATCTTGAGACTTTTTGAGCCAAGCTTTGAGAATCATGATCAAGAGTTGATCAAATGATGTTTGTGGCTTCAAAATGAGATGTTGACCAAAAATTTGAACTTTTGACTGTCAAATGACCATTTTTCCCCTACAGTTGACTGTAGTGCAATTAGGGTTTTTGACTGTGCAATTTTGTGCTGTGAGCCTTGAAACTTGACATGAGGATGCTTGACCATATTTATAGGCATGTGGGACTTGATTGGACCCTTGGAAACTTCATTTTCTTTGTCAGAACCAAAACCCTAGTTTTTGACTGTTAGGAGGCCCTTGAACTGTGCAACCCTTGGGGAATTTTGAAGCATGCTCTTTGCAAATTTTGAAGAATATGGGAGGGCAAATTTTGGGGTACAACACCAGGCCATTGTCAGCTGTCAAAATGGCCACACATTATTGGAATTGATCTGCAGATGTCTCTTGCGGCACATGAGCCATCTTTAAAAACTTTACCAAAGCTTTAGCATGTGCCTCAGAGCACAGCAGTAGGGCTAACATATAGATTTTGGAGGGGGTCTACCCCAATTGTTCAACCACATCATAATCACTCTTCTTAATGATCCTCGGGATTTCTTCCATCTCCTTCTTGGATGTTTCAGGAATAGCTAGTGATTGAGCCTTCGTCAGGACAGGCTCCTCTTGAACATTCTTTCCTTTATTCTCAGAAGCAAGAGTAGGGATAGGAATTGCGTTGTCTTCTTTATCCGTAGATACGCTTGCAGGTGTAATCACTGGTACATATGTAATCTTCGGAACAACCACAGGTCCAAAGACTGCCTTTGGAGGCGCAATATCTGGAGAGAAAATTCTTCCACTATGGGTAATTTTACTTGTTCCGGCAATGTTACTGATGTCAGAATTGTCCTCTTCAGAGCTCTCGTCTTCGGCAGTCTGTTTAATTTGTTTGACACCATGGTAGTAGATTTCTCCACCATAATTCCATGACACCATTTTATCTGATTTGTATGGGGCAGGCCCGGGTATTGTTATCTTCAATGGAGTAGTCATTGGAGCAGATGTAATCCTAACGGGTTTTTTAGGAACCCTGGAAGGATTGGCATAGATGGTTATTATTGAAACTTCTTTAACTGGAACAGGTGAAATAGGAGCTTTCTCAAACAAGATTTCTTGATTATCAATCAGTTGTTGGATACCTTTTTTCAACAGAGGGCAGTCGAATGATGAGGATAGGCAAAACATGGCAATCTTTGTCACAACCTGGGAACACCCCAACCTTAAACAAATTCAACTTGATGGTCGAGAGTGGAGTCAACAAATCATCCATGGAGGCAACAAACAAGTCTTTCTCAACAATATTAGCATTGTGTCCATGCCTAGGCATTGGAGCAGAAATAACATTCGGTTTCTCAAGAGCTTCAAATTCAACTTCCTTTGCGTCATTCAGATCTTGAATCTTATTCTTCAGAGCCCAACAGTTGTTGGTGTCGTGCCCTGGACTTTCAGAATGGTAAGCGCACCTGGCATTTAGATGGTAGTGTAGAGATGTAGTATTGGGATTTTTAGGGGCCTCTTTTAGCATAGCCAGATTTAAATTCAAAAGATGTGGTAGGACTTGAGCTGGAGTCATGTTAATCTTGGTGAATTGTTGTACAGGCCTTTCCACCCTTTGCTGGTTATTTCTCGGCTGATTGTTTCTCGGATGGTCTGATGCATGCTTTTGAATCATAACGGCCCCCACTGTTGGTCGTCGCTCGGTTCTTCCCTGATTTCTCTGTGCATAGACATCAGACACTTCCTTCTTTCCCGTGAAGGGCTTTTTTACAACAGCAGAGGTAGACGCGTCCTTCTGATTGAATGATGGTGATGACGTCGATTCACCGACGCTGGATGTTGAGATATGATTGCTGAATGATGATGATTGAAGCAAGGTTGGCGTAGAGAAGAAATTTGCAGAGTTGAGGATGATACAGAATCAAGTGAAAATTCCAGGGAAAAATTGTGAAATTCGAATGGTTGAGGGAAGAGGAAGAGAGAGTGAAGGTCGATAATGAATCCCCCTAATCCCAAGACTGAAGATGATCAATCTTCTTAAGAGTTGCGACCTTCTTTCAGAGAATTATCTTCATTATCCATACCCCCATATGGTTTTCTGTTATTCTCCTTATGAATTCCCTTTCTGATTTCTGTTACCCCCCTCTTTCCATTATGTTACCAATCTCTTATATCCTTCCCTATTCTGTTATGCATACTATTGAGGAGTTTGTTGTTAGGCAGTTAGGAAAGTTATTAATTCTGTTTAGAAAAAAACCAGTAGGCTAGAATTTGGTTAGGGATCGCTGCAGTTGGTTAGGAGCTTCAGTTTCTGTTTTAGTTTTCCGTTAGATGAGATTCTTTTATAGGAGTTAGTTGCAAGACAGTTAGGTATTGTACTAGGTTGTTAGGTAGTTAGTTATGAATGCAGTTAGAAGTTTACTTTCTGTTTTGGTTGTTGTAGGAGTTTGTTGAAATCTGTCCTGAGAGTGAAATGGGTTAGAGAAATCTGTTGTTGTTGATTATTTTTTATTAGGTCATATGATGCAGGCTTGTTAAACTATTTTTATTGAACTTGTAGACTGTTGAACTGGACTGCTTATTATGTTTATGAATATGGCAGGGCTGAAGATAACTGTGGACTGGAGAATCAGTTTCAATGAACTAGATTTAACTAGAAATTGGTTAGAAAATATTGGCTCTGAAACTTCTGCTAATATTAAGAACTGTTATGCTGTTAGAAGTTCTGTTTGGTGACCACATCTTCTTTGAATTTTTTAGTTTTGGCAACCTGAACTATTTTGAAGTATTTTCTATTTTTTGTAGCGAAACTGATATGGTTTTACGCATATATGAAGGGAAATATGAATCTGGGCAGCAACAAGTTTGCTTCCATCTTGATGCAAGATTTGAACCTTGGGCATGATGCGAAGCTTAGACCCAGGTAAATCTTGGAGTTAAACCACTTGGAAACTAGAAGTATATTTTGTAGTATTTTCCTTTACATTTTCCTTCTTGTAATATTTCATGACATAGTGGACTGTATTTTGAAACTTGAATGGATATTGAAAACTCTCGATTGAATGTTGACTTGTAGAGTGAATTTGAAAATTTTGAATCTTGAATCAATACAATGCACCACTTTTGAAAAGAACCTTGAAGGAATCTTGCACAATTTGGACATAATTGAATGATACTTGAATCAAACTTTGAATAATGTCTTGAAAATTGAATGAAGTTGAAATTGCCTCTTGAATAAAAGAACTTTGCTTGCAAAAGCATGAGGAATGTCTTCTTTTAGAATGAGGAATTCTCTTGCTTTTTTTTGTAGCTTGAACTCAAAACAATCTTTGTGAATAAACTTGAACTTGTACCCTGAATTTCAAGTAATCACTTGCATGCTTGCACTCTCATTCTTGACATCGTGAACAATTATATGTACTTAAGAATTTCGAAGCCTTAATGAAATCAAAGGTCAATACTTTGCATCATCCTTTTTAAATCACTTGGAAATGACACACTTGAATGAATACTTCATCATAATGAAACCAAATCAATTTGCAAACAACAATTAATTGAATGGGCAACATGACCTTGCCCTTAAAGAAATCACGATTTTATCCTTTTATCATGCCTGGTTAATGAACCCCAACCCTCAATTGAATTATAAACTCAAGAGACCACCCAATCCTATTTGAAAGGTTAATGAAATCTTAAACCAAATCTTGAGCATTATGAAACACCTTAACTCGACAAAACCCCAAAGCAACACTTTAACCACTTGACCAGTATCACAACAGAAGAAAGACCCTGATTCAATCTTTTAAGCCTCTTGAGAAGGGTTGACTTGTGGTGTAAGCAATTAAGAGGAACCCTAAATGACGTCAGTGAAATTATAATAAGGAAATAATGATGATCCTTGTAGCCTTGAGGACAAAACCTAGCATGACAAACCTTTGCTGAAGATCTAATACCAAGCTCAAATATAACGTAGGAGAAACCCTAATTCTTGATCTTTGACGACCATTGCTGAAGAAATGGCCTTGTATCTTGAGGAATTTTGCTAGCGAAGACGTCTATGCTGCTTGAGATCCAAAGCCCTAATCTCGTATCAAAAATGATGAGAGCGCCAGTTGAATCAACATGAAGAATGTAACAACCTTAATCCACAGAGAACAACTCTAATGCCAAACTCTTCAATCTTGTAATCATGGGATCAATGCTATGTATGAGATGTACAGAGTATGAAGAGTATGAAGAGAGATCTTTGGAGCAAAAATTAGAGTGTAACACCTCCCCTAGATTATGATTACTTCTTTGTTTTCTATTTTCTGAAAATACTATCGCAACAAATTTCCAAATTATATTGACTTATGACTCTACAAAAAAAATTAAAATAAAAGATAATATATAATATTAATATAACTAACATATTAAATATATTTTTTAACAAACACAACATATTGAAATAACTAAAGGGTCCATGACTTTCTGAGTTTTAATATAGAAAATGTTAAATGGAAGTATTATTTAAGAAACTGTAATCCATTTCTTAAAAGTTTGAAAATTAATTTGTCATCACAGTAGAATCTGAATTGAATCATTTGTCATGAACAACACATGTGATACTTTTTTTAATGATCCAATTAGTCACACAATACAACCTTTTGCTAATAGTAAAATATGAACAAATAGATTGATTATACTTAATTTAAACAGAACAGAACAGTCAATAAAAAATATGACTGTCTCAGCATTACAACAACAATAACGACCAATTTTTTAATCCACGCAATAGAAAAATAACTGACACCAGAAAACACTGCATATAGAGTCAAGAGACGACTGAAAAATAATCAATAAAACATACCAAGGGACAGTCAGTTTCCTCAATATATATATATATATGCATATTTTTATTGACTATTTACATGAAAAGAGAAATCAAGAATTCCCGAAATCATGCTCTCAGAAACCTAAACACAAACTGAAAAACCACAGTCAGCAAACACAAGTTGAGCTACTGGATACTTATCAATGCAATCTTCACAGCGAGAATTCCAATTTCTTTTGTTTCCGTCCCGCCGATCACCTCAAAGCACCAAACACGACGGATTCTGCTTCAGATCTTGCGGCAAAGATTGAAGGTCGGGGAGGAGTGCAGTGCATGGCTTCGTCGCCGAGACCAGATCGAAGAAGAATCTTGCGCTGGAAATCTTTTCATCAATACAAACCTAAATCCAAAAGAAGTCGCCGGTGAGATGAGAAGAGCTTTGAGGTGATCGGCGGGACGGAAACAAGACAAGTCCATAAGGTAGACGGCGCGTGAGCTATTATCATTAAGGGACTATGGCTTCTTCAATATAACTACAATTCACTTTCACCGCACGCATCCACGTGCCGTGTACCTCATCCACGTGTACCTCGTCGACTTTTGGGTCTGTTTGGTTATGACATTCACGTGTACTTTATTAAGCGAGGAGAGAAGAGAGATTTAATGAAGAGAAGTAGGTAAGAGATGTGAGATTTTTTTTAATCACATAAATGTTTGGTTCAAAAAAAGAGAGGAGAAATGATGAATTTTTTTTAAATAATTATTTTTTCAAAATATCTTTTAAATAATTATTTTTTAAATTCTTTTATCAAAATATCACTTTTTAAATAAATTTTTTTTGTCACACAGAGGAGTAGTCACTCTGTGTAGCGCATGCATTCATTTTTAAGAGGAGGCGTCACACTGTATGACTTGTCCACCTCTGTAAAGTCATGCAGTGTGGCGCATGCATGTGTTTTTAGAGAGGAGGCGCCATCCTCATTGGCTTGACAGTGTTATTGTATTTTCTATAAATACAACCACCCATCTTCTTCATTTTTCTACACCATTTGTTACATAACTCTTAGAAAATGTCTTCAACTCCCTTGCCAAAGTTTTCACTGATAAAAAAAGATGCACATGTTATTTTTTCAGTGACAAAGCCTCAGGTGAAGATCAAACTTTGGAACACGCAGACGTTCGAACATTTTCAGAGGTACTTGATTCACTAGTTGAAAGGAGACATTCTTGAAGGTGAACAAATCAGAAAAATAGAAAGACACATCACAGTGAGAAACGAAAATGGAGTAAACCGATCATAGAAAAAGGTGAGATGCGATGTTGATGTCATGATGATGATGCTAGGATCAGAGGATATTGTGTTAATGGTCTTTATCTCTTAGATATTATGAATTGTTTAGTTGTTTTGTCTGTTTATCATGTTGTTGTATTGTTGTCTTGAGTATGTGGTGTTGTAATTTTTTGTGTCATGATGTGAAAGTTGTTGTAATCGAATGATAAATTGAGCACAAAATGATAACTCAAATTTAAATTGAAATATATTGCGTACAATAAATTAAACACTCTGGATAGTTTGCTATCAAAAAGTTATGTTGCAGAGCTAGACCCAATATTCGGACAATTTTTATGATTGTGTCCGGGAAGACGACATATACTGCATAATCTTATCATTTTGTTGGCCGTATCCATTTCAGTTCTAATATGAATGCTTTTCGGGCGCCCCTTTTTCTTTCGTCGTATTTGTTCATTGTGTCAAACAATGTCCCCTTGATAAGCAGGTCAATAATCCTCCTTTTCCAACACGGAGAAGGTATTGATGTACACACTTAAAACACTTTTTACCGTGTACACGGGGGATATATGTTGTATTAGGTCCAAGCGAACATGCGAACATGCTGCTATGACATGAGAGCAAGGCATGCGAAATGCTTGAAACTTTCCACAATCACACCAACCTCTATCTAGTTCGACCCGATAATATCCCCTTGGCCTCCCCTCATTCTGATCTATTATCTCTTGTACACTGAACCAACCTTTAATACGATCAAACACGGTGACACTATGGGTTATTGCTTTCGTAACCTCCTCGTTAAATATTTTCATCGTGCATTCACTGAACAACTGCCATGATTGTAACACTGCTCTCCATTTTGAACTTCTTGTGTCAAACAATGATCCCATTCTAAAATATGTTGCTCTAACCAAAGTGGTAATTGGTAGGTTTCAGATGCCTTTGAATACAAAGTTCAATGATTCCACCAGATTTGTTGTCATGTGGCCCCATCGTTGACCATTGTCAAATTCCCGAGTCCACTTCTCCACTGGAATGTTATCGATCCACCTTAATGCTTCTGAGTTTGCCAACCGTATTTCTTTGCGATAGTATCGGAATGACGGTTCTGTTAAGGCATACCCTGCATTAATAACTTTCTTTTGAAGTGTCTTGTCTTTGATATGGAGCATGAAGTTTTGTGTGATATGTCTAATGCAATAGACATGTGTCGAAGGGGGATCCTGCCAACCGTTATCAGGTTATTGTATGCACTCACAATCAATGGATGTCTGTCTGAAATCAAACAAAGGTTGGGTTGCAGAGCAACGTGTAATCGGAGATTCTTCAGAAATAAATTCCATGCACCACCTGTCTCACCTTCAAATAGAGCGAAGGCAATCGGAAAAACATTACTGTTCCCATCTTGTGTCACTTCCATGAGTAATGTTCCTTTATACTTCCCGTATAACCAAGTTCCATCAATTTGTATAATAGGTTTGCAAAATGCAAAACCCTTGATGCATGGTTAAAACGCCCAGAACAATCAATGAAATATTCCATTTTCACTAACATGAGTTCTGTCTGGGGTAAAAGTCGGAAGTGTCTCCAAAATTATAACAGTTCCCGGAGCATAATATTTGAGTGCCACCAAAAATCTTGGAAGTTCTTTGTACGATTCCTCCCAATTAGCGTACACAAGTTCAACTGCCTTAGTCCCCTCGATCCATGCCTTCCTGTAAGAGGGAGTATAATTGAATCTGGTAGTGATATGAGAAATAATTGTACTCACCTTTAATGATGGATCCTTTCTAATAAGAGGCAAGATTTCTTGACATATTAGTTGAGAACTAAGTTTCCAATGATCCTGTGTCGGAACGGTGGTGATACAAGTGCGGAGTGGATCAATGGAACCTATTTCCCATGAATCATTTCTGCTCCTGTAAGATGCAGTTAACCGAAAAGGGCAAGTTGGTTTTTGATGACATAAAATAACGTACCTCCCTGAATTATTTTTATCTACAGTGAAGTCAGCTAAAATTTCCACGTGGTATTTTTTGATAGCTCTAAGACACTCTTCTTTTGTTCGAAATTTGTCTCCAACTTTCAAGGCCCCTTCGGTCTGCATATAAGGATTGTGAAAGATATATGAGACTGGTTCATCTTCCCTCAAGTTTAAGTTCTTCATGTGAAACGGAGGGTCGTACGCATGACTTGCAGGTATAGGTTCACGCTCTTAATCTGCAGCGTCATCATTGACCATAAAATCAATCATTGCCTCATAATCTTCTTCTTCTTGGTCAATAACATCGACTTCGAGATGGTTGTCCTCGTCAGATTCATCCTCTTCTTCAAAGTCTTGAGAAGGATCTACCACCTGAGATTGATTTGGTTGTTGTAATAAAACATACAGCTCAATCTCACCGAACCCAGATTGTTCACGAGTTCGAAATATGTTTCGAACATCATCATCGTCGTGCACCTTAAGTTGAAAAAATTTGATAAACTGGACCACACTTGTAAAGAATTTGGTAAACTGGACCACACTGCAATTTGGATTCTACTCTATCTTTGAAGCGTGCAAAACCTGATTTCTTGTTTATCCGAAAGCGAATAAAATCGGTATTACGGAAATTAAAACCTAAGCTATCGCAGTTGAACGTCTCACTGTTAATATGGGTAACAATAGTATAATTTTGTGAATGATCCATGTTGTTGAGGTATGTTTTTTGTGAGTTATGAATGTATACTAGTAATGCAACCTACACAAACGATTAAATAGATTGATATTATCCATGCATGCGCCACCTAGGGTGGCTTATCCTCCTATTTTCTCATGCATGCGCCACCTAGGGTGGCTTATCCTCCTCTTTTTGCATGCATGCGCCACCTAGGGTGGCTTGTCATTGAACAACAAAAATTACATGCATGCCATCTGATCCCTGTCATGCTGCAGGTTTGCATGCATGTAAAAAGCAAGAAGCCATGTTGAATTGCGCCTTTGTACAACAAAGAGAGCATGTGCCACCTAGTGTGGCGCCTATGTGCAATAAGGAAGAGCATGCGCCATCTAGTGTGACACCTATGTGTATAAGTTACATGCAAAGTATTCTTCAAGGTTTTCCTATAAATACATGTAACATTCACCCTATATTTTCATCACAATCATAACTCATACACTATTTCTTTCTTGAAGTCTCAACAACAATACAAGAGTAATCAAGAAAAAATGTCTCTCTTGACCATGTGTGATCAAAATAGAGAAACTCCAAACAACATTGAAACCTTTGTAAGTGTATTTTCTTCAATACCTATTTTTTGCCGAAAATTTTTTGTTCCTTAATTCTTATGATTATTATACGTAAATCTTGTATTTCTTATACGTAATTCATGTTTTTAATAGGATGTTAAAAGATTTCGTTGTCGTGTCCATGAGTATGTCCCTTACGACGTTCAAATTGAACCGTACTTACGACATGCCGGTTTTGGTTCGTTACTCAACATAGTCAATTACCATGTTGACTATAAAATTATTCTCGCATTAGTGGAGAGATGGAGACCCGAAACCCACACCTTTCATATTTCATGTGGTGAATGTACAGTCACACTAGAGGACGTGTACATGTTATTCGGTCTACTGATCAACGGTAAGGCTGTCAATGGTCGAGTTAACCAAGACAACGCCATATGCGAGAAACTTTTGGGAGTCTCTTTATTTGAACAAGGTTCAAGAGGCCAAAGTATTAATCTTCGTCTTCTTAGAGAATATCATAGTAGTCTTGTAATAACCGAAAATTTTACCGAGTAAGAAAAAATTGTGAAAGCTCGGTGTTATATAATGATATTATTTGGCCATTTTTTATTTCCTGAAACAATGGGTAATACTGTTAATATCATGTATTTACCCTTGTTAAGACAATTTGATAAAATAGACACATATAGTTGGGGTTCAGCTGTTTTGGCCCATATGTATAGTTCCTTGTGTAAAAATGCATCGAACAGTAGCTGTTCCTTCTATTCTTGCGCCTTTTTGCTCCAGACATGGTGCTGGTCGAGAATGCCGACACTTGCCCCCTGCAACACAAGGCCATTTGTCTTCCCCTTTGCTATAAAGTAAGATTACAAAACCATAAATTTTACATATTATATACCGAGA